AAAGAACCAATAGTTGAAAATGCAATACCAACCAAAGCATGGGAAATAGTGGCTTCTGACATCTTCTTTTGTGAAGGTAAAAAGTTTGTAATCGCAATTGATACATACAGTAAATTTGTTGACATATAAGAAATGCCAGATTTAAGCACGGAAGCCACTATTAAGCTATTAAAAGAAATATTTTCTAGATACGGCGTACCAAAGACTCTATGGTCAGACTCAGGTTCGCAGTATACAAGCGCAAAGTTTAAAAATTTCAAACAGAGTGGGGTTTTGATCATATTATAACTTCTCCTAAACATCATCAGGCAAACAATTTAGCAGAGAGACATATACAAACAATAAAACGATTAATAAAAAAGACAAACATAGAAGGAAAAGATAGAAATCTGGCTTTACTTCAATTAAAAAGTATGCCATTAGATAATACTGGGCGTACGCCAGCTGAATTAATGTTTGGTCGTAATGTAAGAAATGTATTGCCAAGTCTCTGTCGAGGGGTAGTTAAATCTGATGGTTTTGAAAAAGTTTTAAAAGAACGTCAATTTAAGCAAAAGTAATACTATGATCAGGGCTCGAAACAACTCAAAGACTTTAAAATTGGTGATAAGGTTAAAATTCATGAGGAAAAAACAAAGTTCTTACCTCATCAAAGTGGCATTGTAGTTGGTGAAAGCCAGAGCCCGAGATCGTATGTTGTTAAGACAGAAAAGAATACAATTATAAGGCGTAATAGAAATGATCTTTCTAGAGGGGCTGAGTTTGTTCAGAGTGATCCGAATTTGGAAGTGCAGTTAGAAACGGAATCGGAAAAGGCCAAATTATTGGCTGAAACAGTCGCTGGTAATAATAGTCCTAATATGGACTCCACTATAAACAGCACTTCAGATGTGGATCAGTCTGAATCTCAAACGGCTGAAGGGGTAAATAATATGGCTGATAAAAACGAAGTCAAAACGACTGAACCAAGAATTGTAAAAACTCGTTCAGAACGTATTGTCAATAAACCTACTTATTTGAATGATTATATATAAAAGGGAAGATATGTTGTGAGTAGGACCTTTAAGTATCGAAGAGAGGGATAAAGGAAGGATCGGTAGAGGAGAAGAGGGCAGAGCGAGGCCAGAGGGCCATGTAAGAGGATGTACTTAGGAGTTAAGAACAAAGAACATCAACCTATATAAGTATTATTTATTAATCTTTGATCCCTCTAACAGACACACACATAACAGCGGCATTGTAAAGTTTTTGTAACTACTGGAACAGGAATCCTCAAGTTGACTATGGTAACATCATGTTTGGTGGTGGTCCATGGTGGTAAAAATTGTTCTTGGCTCGTGTAAAGATAATTCTCACTCAGGTAGATGTAGTCAATCGTAGAGTCAGAAGTAGTGCAGTGGTGGGTAGGGCCGAAGGAGATTCTATCCAAGCCTAATGACAACAGAGATTGCTTGATAATGTCAAGGTTAATTTTGTTCGAGTTCGATTCTATTTTAAAATTGCAAATGATTACTAATTTATCGTAGACACAGTTACAATTAACATTGGTAGACTCAACATTATTCCAAAAGCCAGCTTTTGGTGGACGATAGACAACTGCATATATGTAATGGTGTATCCAACGCTTTTAATTGCAGTCTATAAGTATTCGGGGCGCTTGACGTATACGTGTGGAGTTTCAGATGTGTCCACAGTCCTGGTCTTGAATGATTCGTGAATGTACAAAGTTACGCCTTCACAGCCCTTACTGACACGATCACGTCACAGTTAGTTGTATCCTGGTATGTACACTAGTTGATTAGGTATGCTAGGCTTTAGAAATGACTCACTGATGGCAAAGATATTTACATTACTTATACATTACTACAGATATTTACATTACTTAATTTGCACTCTATACTGGCACGAAGCGCAGGTCACTTAGCTTTGTCAAAGGCACGGTGCGAATGATAGGGAGCTTTGGAGTTTTTGCAGTTGACGAAGCAAACAACAGAGTTAGTTATGCAATCTTCAGAAGAGTGCTGACCAGCGCAGAAACCACAAATTGATGTGATGTTGCAGTTAGATGTGATGTGTCCAAGCTTGTGAGACTTAAAGCACTGAAGTACAGAGTTGTGATCGTTTAATCTACACTGTACCCAGCCAAGGTTTATTCTTTCCCTAAAAGATAACTTCTTTCGATGCTCAGAAGATATCTCAATGACGCAAGACCTGTGTTTTTTGTTGTGAGCTAAATACAGGTAGACAATTTTGATCTCGTCAGGCTTGGAACCACTAAATTTTTGTGCAATCAAAAATTTTTGTATCTCTTCGTGAGTATACTCAACTGGTATGCCGTTAATAAGGATGCGAGGTCAAAATTTTTTCTGAGGTTACACCTCAACTTCTAGATCACTTAGTGCTGGGCCATCTACAAATCTCTGCAGCGCATCACTTTTAATTATAACAGATTTTCTAGTAGCTAAGAAAACACGCCCTACTAGCAGACCAAGATCAGCAGCACAGATAGTTTTTAGCTCGTTTTTGTGTCTTGCGCAGTAGGAAATTCATTCGAACGGTTAACAAAAGGGCTGATTACAACTCGTGATGCTCTTTTAATAGGAATAAGTTTGCCATGATTTATGACTATACGGCTGTTAGCTCTATGGTGTACCACATTGGCATAAGTTTTAGCTTTTTGATTGACAACAGACGATGTAGACGAACATGTACTTAGTTGCTGGCACGCTTGTCTAATTTCATTTAGGCATGCGTTTTTAGCTGAAGCTGAAGCTGATTGTGCACTGTATGCACACGCTAGTTTAATGAACGCGTCACTAAATCCATTTATAGCAGCTCGAAGTTCGTTTTTGCGGGCAGTGTCTTTTTCATTGGCTAGCCATGACATTAATGGATTACTGTCCTCATTTATTTTAGCATGGAGAGCTTCAACATCAATAGTTGCTGACATAGTTTACTAGTCTGTTTGTATAAGATACATAATGCCAACTGTTGGAAGCGAAGTCGAGTAGGTTGCTCTACAGACAATAGCTGAACCGACTCTCACCTAGATTTAAGATAAGGCCTAGTATTTGCGTCCAGGGCAAAAGGTAACTGCAATCGTCCTCGGAGATAACAGTACCACGAAGAGTTGTAGTGAATGCGCTTGCAACCAACCTGGAATCAAAATGGCCGAGGGCTTAGGAGAATAGAAACAGTATTCGTTTTATAGAGGTATAGCAGAAACAGTCATTACGCTACTTATGCAGGAAAGAGAGAGAGAGAGAGAGAGGAAGAGAGAGTATAACGGGGTCATTTTTCATTCCAAGCCGAAATACACCAAAACAAATTCTAATGCCCGAGCCTCGTTTTAATGTCCACGTACGTGTGTGTATCTTTTTACTATTTTTTATGCGAGGAAAGAGGAGAAAAAGATAGAGACCCACAGCCAGTGAGCCAAGCAATGAAAAGAGTGAGAGTGAAAAGCATGAATCAGAAGAAGAACTATTTATGAATGGACTCTAAGTGACGATAATATTGTAATTGTGAGCGCCAATATGTGTGTATATTTTAGTGTCATATAATAGGAAAATAGGAATATGTGTTATCGATTTATGGCGATTGTTGGAATTTTTAATGTATTTTCCCGTGTCTGTTGTTAATCGCATTTCGCTGGAAATAAGTAGTGTGTGTGAGTATGTAAGTGTATTTGAGCGAAAGACGAGCCGTGTACGAGCTAGGTTGTATGAGAGGAGTAGGGAAAAGAAAACAATAACGGATTTTTCGAGGCAGTAGGCTGCAAGCAGTGAGACTGAGAGGATTCCTTGACAGGCCTTTGAGAGGGAAGGATGTAGAGTGTGTGTGCCTTCGAGACGTCGTTCAACCTTTGTCTATTAACCAGCTGATGGCGACCTACGAGAGTCATCATCTGCAGCCTGTCTGGAGACTGTGACGCCAGTGGTGAGATTGTTGGTGTGTAGGATGTGTCGAGGGCAAAAGTAAAAAGCAGGCGTGTAGATTAGCATGTGTGATTGAGGCATGGAGTGGATTTCTTTGTTGTTAAGGAGAAAAGTGATGAGTGTAAGTGGGGGTCAATATCGCTTAAAAGAGAGAGAGAGAGAGAGAGAGAGAGAGAGAGAGAGAGAGAGAGGGAGAGAGAGAGAGAGGGAGAGAGAGAGAGTGAGTGAAAAGAACCGAGAGATGCGTGCGTGAGAGCAAGAATCAGGTTGTCCGAGAAGAAGACGTTCGAGTTAGGGAAGAGAGCTTGGTGGGCGTGATTCTTTGAATCGTGGGCGAGCCGATGCATCCAGAATGACGCGAGGCTGTGGCACTGTGTGTTAAATAGGTGTAGTTGTGTGACGAGACTGTGTGTGTGCGTACTTGAAGAGTCGTCTGAGCTTGGCAGTCTGCGAGAGGCTGCCTGCCCGTGGCAATGGGACAAAGAGGGTGCGTGTATATTTGATGGGTCATCTGATCCTCAGCAGTCAGCAAAGGGCCGCCTGCCCGTAGCAATAGGACGAAGAGGGTGCGAGCGTATCCGAAAAGCAGCATCGTCTGAGACTCGGCAGACCGGCTGATGACACTGACAGTAGGACTCACTATGGAAAGAAAGGATGTGCAGTGTGTGTTTGTCGTCGAGTTGATGCGTGAAGTAGCTTGTAAACTAAAGTATTGCGTTGTGGCCAAGTGTTATCGCGATCGAACTGGGTTGTCATACCCTTGGAGCAAGCCGTTCTCTAGGTCGCGTGTGGAGAGCTTTGTGTTTGTATGTAGGTGTTGTTGGGGGGGCGTATGAGTACAAGAGTGCGTGTATGAATCTGCAATTTGCGAGTTAGTGCCAGAGATAGCGTCGATTCTCTTGAAGTGTTTATCTGATGTAAATGAATAAAGAGTAGTCTCAAAGTGAATTATACGGAACGCGTATTTATTTGCACAATTGTGTAATAGGTATATCCTGATCATTTCCCTCGGGAACTGTCCACCTCACGATGAATAATCCACGGCGGGGCCTCCTCTAGGTGATGAGTTTGCATTGGGAGTACAGAGCTGAGCCAAGCAACGGTTCGGAACAAGGTGTAGAATGTGTTGTAGGTGTTCGAAGGTGATTTTAGTGCGTTGCAGCGGCACAGGTTCTCGGCGACGTAAAAACGTCGACAGGGCTAGTAAAATGCAATGTTACAAGAATCAGAGTGAGTGAGTGAGTGAAAACGAGTTTATAATGCTATAGTTGGATTGACCGTACGGCAATAATCATTTTTGTGTACGTATAAATCATTTAAGATAATATAAAGTAGGAACAACAAGAAACGTAGCATCATTGATAAAGTGAGACATTTTCTATTTTTGATGTAGAATATTTGAATGTCGTGACAGACCAAAACATAAAATTATGTGTTGTGACTTTTCTCATTGTATAAAAGAGCAAAAGAAATTATTGCGAAAAATAACTTCATAGAACAAAAAATACAGATTGCAGTAAAGACTTTAGAACAATAAATGAGAAAAAAACTTATTTAAAGTTTATTCATGAATGACATGGATACACTTAAGTAATCTTTATTAACGGGCACATAAAAGAAAACTGAATGATGTCTAAGAAAATTTTTTCTAATCTAATAAAATTTTTAGACACTAACTGAAGTGAAACTAACTCAAACGATGAAACATGTCTTATTAATTTAAAAAGTGTAATAAACTTCAGGGAAGGAATGACCACCATCTCAAATGAATCTAAACTATGTTGTAAAAGACTGCAAGATTGTAGTATTTTCCTTTTTTTACGTTACAAGTCCCTTTGGTTCTTAAAAAATCTTTTTTTTGCTCAAATGGATCCGTAAATACATCATTCATTTCTATTCAAATGTAGGAACTCGAATGTAAAAGATTTAAGTTGGAGTAACAAAATTTGTTTTTCTTGACTTATGTTAAGACCATGCTTATCATATTTTAAAACTGTTTCATAATCTTTACTTATAATCGAAAATAGTAAACCATAATATGAGAAAAGACTATTGCGATTTTTTTATTGTTTTGACGTAAGCTGATGAAATAAATTAACAACGGCCTATTGTATCAATTAAATTCAGCCTTCTTACCACTTAAAGAAGATATAAAAACTAAACACTGTTTATCTTAAAATATAAAAACAATTTATTTGTTATTGAATGAGTTTTCTTTTATTTACAGAAATACTTTGCTGAAAGCAAAATACCGGTGCTTATCATAGCAAATAAAAGTGATCTTGTAGAAGCTAAACAAGAATATCTATTACAACCACTTAGTTTTTGCAGCAAATACAAACTGATGCCGCCACAGCAATATAGCAAGTCAAGGGCAGTACGCAGAGAGGTCTTTGTGAAGTTGGCGACCATGGCATCTTTTCCGTGAGTAATTATTCACTAGAATAACCGATAACATGTCATGCAGAGTACTTTTGAAAAAATAATGTACGCTTGTAAGTACGTCACTTTTTGATTTTAAGTAAATTATGAACGTGCTGATCATAAAATTTTCAGACACTTATACGATAGAACTATAGGTGACGTCAATGGTATGTATTATTTACAGTATGTCATGGATTTTGGGTCTATTTCTCATGTATTATATGGCAGAACAGGCAGATTTTAAATAAAAACATACTACATTACTAGTATTTATATTTTACTCATCAATTATCAGTATAACCTTCTTTTCTATTATAGTACACTAACGTTTAGAGGTATCTACACTTTCTTTATTGATAACGTATTTTACATCAGGTACAAATTATTTCAGTTTCATAAATCATGTACAAGTAAAACAGTTTTGACTAAAACAAAATTTACAATTTAACTGTCATAGTAAGAACGCTCACAGGTACTATGGTTTGGCTAAAAAGGAAGAATAAGTGGTTAGTGTTTGTGATAACTTCAGCTCTCTAGAGATCATTTGTCACATATAAATCAAATGTTATTACTATTTTAACTAAATAAATAAATGTTACTAAGTATTATTATTATTTATTTTTTTTACTAATCAGTTGACATTAGATTCGCAAGTTGCATTTTCTGAAAAATTTATAAATTATAATACACACAGTGATGTTTGGCCCTATAATAATGCTTTCAATGTTGTACAGAGGATGTAGTTTTATATTCATAAAGTCTTTAAATAGTGTATCTCTGTGTTGTTGGTAATGAGTACATGTCCATAATATTTATGACTTGAATCTTCTTTTTCCTTACTGTGATTAAAAGCAGTAGACTAAAATGTTTGATATGAATCAGTATAATTAACATGTTTTACTGAGATTGACAGGGATCTGGCTGAATACTTAGCAATTCTGAATTTAGTTAAAAGTTTTAATAGTCTTCGTAAGTATTGTTTTGTTATCATAAGTATGATTTATTTTGATACATTCAGCTGGAACATCAGTAAACTGAGAGATTTTCATTACATTACGTCAGTCATGATGAATAAAAGAGACCTATAATACATGCAACAGTGGACTAAGAATTGCTTCTTGTAGAACTTCTTCGTAAGTAGTACGATATCTGGATTTATTGTCAGTGTAGATAAACCTTTCGCATGTAATGATACTGACTAACTTAATGACCTGGGGAAGGAATTCGAGAGCTACTAATTTATTTAATAGAATATCTTTATTCACATTTTCAAAAGATAACTGAACGTCTAAAAAGGCTACTGGCAAATCGCCATTATCATAGAGCGCCTCGTCTGCAGAGAGGGCTAGACTTCGTAGATTGTCGATACATGAGTTACCCTTCGTAACGCTATGTTGGCTTTTAGGAAGTAAACTTTTAGTTTCCACGCACCATTGCATCCTGTTTTTTACTAGCATCTCAAGAATATTTACAGACATGAAGTTAGTGAAATGTGTCTATGGTCATTGTTATTAGGTTTCCTGATAAATAAGACGTATATATCTTTCGAGGGGTCAGGACATTGCGTGAGCAAGTACATTTTGTTGAAAAAGCCTACAAAAATAATTTTATATTTGAAAGGTAACTTTATGATAAAATCAAAGCTCATGCCGTCTGGAGCTGCTCAGTCAAAAATTTATAGCTATTAATATGCCTATAATTTATAGCTATAATTATAGCTATAACTACCTATAAAACAGCTATAATAATGTATAAAATTCAGCTATAAATATAGCTATAAACTACAGCTGTAAATTTTTCACAAATAATGAATAAAAATTAGTTTAAAATCAGATTTTTTCAACATATATCGATTAGTATAGATGGTATTATCCGTATCATAACAGTAAAACTGGGGGCCTGAAGTATTCTTGAATAAGTAGAAAAAAAAAACAAGAAATTATCACAATTTCAAGTTTTTTTTAAATTGTTTAATAATACTTTAGGCCCTCAGTTTTACTGTTATTACACGGATGATACCGCCCATACTGATCGACATATGTTGAAAAAATCTGATTTAAAAGTAATTTTTATTCAAAATTTGTGAAAAGATTACAGCTGTAATTTATAGCTATATTTAAAGCTGAATTTTATACATTATTATAGCTGTTTTCTAGGTAGTTATAGCTATAATTTTATCTATAATTTATAGCTGTAATTATAGCTATAAATTTTTAACTGAGTGAGTTAAGATTTTTACTGTCTATGATTTAGTTGCACCAAGAAAAAAGCGAGTTCATGAATTTGTTTTAAAAAGCAAATGGAAAACAATCAGATTTGTTTGAGAGGGAGTCTTGTCAAACACAGATTCAAGCACCTCACTAGAACACTGTGAATTGTCATCTTATTGTTACGGTTTGCCCTTTGCTCAACTTTTTTTTAATTGTCTTACAGTTTTTTTAAACAAATGTAGAATTTGTACGAAAATTCAGATTTTTTATGAATTGTAAGATTGTACTTTTTTTTAATTTATAAACAGTTTTGTTGACAAAGCACATTGTTTTTTGTACTCAATAAAGTCTCGCAAATTTAGTGTAAACAAAATTTTTTTTCATGCCTCTGTTTTTAGTTTCTTTTTTTTTTCATAATTTATGCCATACCATATTATAGGACGATGTTGATTTGCTTTGATACTACTTTTTTGTAAGGAGTATAATTTTTTATAGCTTCTATAACAATTGCAAGAAAACTGTTGTATTTGACTACAGGAGCTGAGCTTTCATAATAAGAACTGTAAAAAAAAAGGAAGCTAAAGTTTAAAAGCTTTATTATTCCTATTTCAGTCGGTACGGGTAGGGTTATGCTGAATGATTTTTTGTTATGTACATTTTTACTACTACTTATGTTGGAAAATAATGAGAAATGATAAGGTTCCCAGGTTTTATCTCCAATTTCAAGGCTAACCCAGTCAATTAACTTTTGCTTGGAAAAAATTAGATCTCAATTCGATCTGTAGTGATCCCATACACTGATATAAGTTTATATATGAAAGTTGTGCAAAAATAATGTACGGTTCTGGTAAGCAAGTTCTAACTGAGGGCCATTGACCTCATTACTTTCACAGTTCCAATTGTCGTTTTTAGCATTGAAATCACCAACAAACATTATGTTGAACTATTCTCAATACACTTAAATGATTCATGCCATTCAAGCTAGGTATGTACAAATTTTAGTGCTCTATAGCATACATATGGTTGAAGACTAGAAAAAACATTGTTAACCGCACATTCCAACTGACTGGAAAAAGAAGACTCCACTACAATTTCTTTATAAGATTAATACAATAAAAATACAAAAAAAAGTGTGCAACCCTATCAACATGAATATGATTTTGTCTATAACCACAAAATCTGACAAGGTTTTATATTTCTTAAAAATTTAACCATGATTTAAGGATAATCATGGCGTCGAAATTAGCTAAAATATTTTTGATTGGAATTATTTTGTAACGATACCTCTTGGTATTCTAAAATATATCTCTTAATGAAGTATTAAAAGTAGAATTTATGTCATTGGTGTTATATTTAAAACTCAAATGTGTTAAAATAAGTAAATACAATAAATAGAAATAGAAAACTCTATACAATGAAATATGTAAATGTATAAATTAAATTGATCTGAAGGTATAAATATAAGTTCTATTAAGTATCAATATTTGTTATCCTTGAATTAGTTAATCAGAATCGATCTCATACTCGTAGGGGTCATACGATAAATAATTTTTAAAAATCTGGTCAGTTTAGTTGACTACTACTAATGAGCTACAGAGACTTCTCTGTGCCCTTACCATGTAATCGAGTGTGGCTTGTCTTTCCGACTGCGGCTTGTACACTAGAAAATTGTTTGGCCTGAAATTCATGTCTGATCTGGATGCAAAATAAGGGTAAATGTCTTTTTGGTACTTGTATTAGTTGATAAGAGGAGTGTTTGGTTTTTGTAGTAGATTGCTTAGAGCTTTATTAGTTTGTGAGTGATTAAAATTGTATGATTTAGCTTCAAATGGCCGTTTGTCTTGACTTTAAGCTTGTGAAAAGGTTGTATGGTTTTCACAATCCAACTGGTTGGGTAGATTATCAAGAGCTTTAAACAGGTTGTCGTCATGCACATGATGTAAAGAATAGAAGGCTTCTTTAGTGGCATCGCACTGAAAAAATTTGGGGTACGTAGCTCGCCCACGGGGGAAATGTTCTTTGTTTTTGTTGTGTCTTTATGCTAACAATATTTTTTCCATACTGATAAAATGTCTCGTAAATAATGAATAAGCTTTCAAAAAAGTACGACTATGATCAGCTGCGCCATCTTTTTGTTGGTAATTGTAGCTGACAAAATCAGCTTCGTGCAAAGAAAGAAACATCTTTTGAAAAATGATAAAATTTGAAAAAGTTAGTGGCAAAACAGAACGTCTTTTTAGCCAAAATCAACAACATCTTTTTCTACATGACAACGATCGTCATTTACATTCAAACACATTTTTCTTATTTTACTACACATACATGACAGAAAAACTTTACATATTTTGCTTTAAAATATAAGCTCGATTGATCCGGAACATCCTCCCCCCCATATAAACATTTGGTTTGTACTATATAATAAAAAAAATAATATGATAGAGGTATGTGTAGCTTCATAGAGTCGAACAATTTAAACTTAAAGTCGTGGTAAATTAAATAGCCTACATTTGATGAGTGGGTTCATTTAATTTCTAGAAAACAAATTGACTTTAAAAGATATAATCTTTCATTCGACAACTTAAAATATGCAAAGACAATCGCCTCACAGCTAACCGTCCGCAACAAATCTGTACGCTTGTTACCTTGTGCCCGTAGGATCTACGGGGCATGTGCTCCCGATAACTCTCAGAGTTTTCGTAACACTACAGCTCACATAAACGATATCTCTCAATCGTGAGTATTAAAACGACTGTCCTTGCAAACTCTTTACAATTTTTTAAATAAAATTGA